GCGTCCTGGGGAGGTCAGCATTGAGCCCAGTCTCCAGTTCTCGCTTCCCTGGGTCACAGGCATACTCTCTCCACAGAGCCTCGGGAACACCACTGTCTGTGTGTGTGTTTGTAAGGATGTTTTTGTTGATTTTAGAGAGAGAGGAAGGGAGACGGAGAAAGAGAGAAACATCCATGTGAGAGAAACATCGATTGGCTGCCTCCCGCACGTACCCCAGCCAGGGATGGAGCCCACAGCCTGGGCACGAGCCCTGAAGGAAGGGAACCAGTGACCTTTTGGTGCAGGGGAGGTAGCTAGCCGAGCGCCCCCCCCCAGGCTCCCCATGCGCGTTTCGATGTCTGCACCAGGCTCCCCGTGTGCGTTTCTGATGCCTGCACCAGGCTCTCCGTGTGCGTTTCTGATGCCTGCACCAGGCTCTCCGTGTGCGTTTCTGATGCCTGCACCAGGCTCCCCGTGCGCGTTTCTGATGCCTGCACCGGGCTCCCCGCATGCGTTTCTGATGCCTGCACCAGGCTCCCGTGTGCGTTTCTGATGTCTGCACCAGGCTCCCCGTGTGCGTTTCTGATGCCTGCACCAGGCTCCCGTGTGCGTTTCTGATGCCTGCACCAGGCTCTCCGTGTGCGTTTCTGATGCCTGCACCAGGCTCTCCGTGTGCGTTTCTGATGCCTGCACCAGGCTCTCCGTGTGCGTTTCTGATGCCTGCACCAGGCTCCCCGTGTGCGTTTCTGATGCCTGCACCAGGCTCCCCGTGTGCGTTTCTGATGCCTGCACCGGGCTCCCCGTGTGCGTTTCTGATGCCTGCACCAGGCTCCCGTGTGCGTTTCTGATGCCTGCACCAGGCTCTCCGTGCGCGTTTCTGATGCCTGCACCGGGCTCCCGTGTGCGTTTCTGATGCCTGCACCGGGCTCCCCGTGTGCGTTTCTGATGCCTGCACCGGGCTCCCCGTGTGCGTTTCTGATGCCTGCACCAGGCTCCCGTGTGCGTTTCTGATGCCTGCACCAGGCTCTCCGTGTGCGTTTCTGATGCCTGCACCAGGCTCTCCGTGTGCGTTTCTGATGCCTGCACCAGGCTCCCGTGTGCGTTTCTGATGCCTGCACCAGGCTCCCCGTGCGCGTTTCTGATGCCTGCACCAGGCTCCCGTGTGCGTTTCTGATGCCTGCACCAGGCTCTCCGTGTGCGTTTCTGATGCCTGCACCAGGCTCTCCGTGTGCGTTTCTGATGCCTGCACCAGGCTCCCGTGTGCGTTTCTGATGCCTGCACCAGGCTCTCCGTGTGCGTTTCTGATGCCTGCACCAGGCTCTCCGTGTGCGTTTCTGATGCCTGCACCAGGCTCCCGTGTGCGTTTCTGATGCCTGCACCAGGCTCCCCGTGTGCGTTTCTGATGCCTGCACCGGGCTCCCGTGTGCGTTTCTGATGCCTGCACCGGGCTCCCGTGTGCGTTTCTGATGCCTGCACCAGGCTCCCCGTGCGCGTTTCTGATGCCTGCACCAGGCTGCCCGTGCGCGTTTCTGATGTCTGCACCAGGCTCCCGTGTGCGTTTCTGATGCCTGCACCAGGCTCCCCGTGTGCGTTTCTGATGCCTGCACCAGGCTCCCGTGTACGTTTCTGATGTCTGCACCAGGCTCCCGTGTGCGTTTCTGATGCCTGCACCAGGCTCCCGTGTGCGTTTCTGATGCCTGCACCAGGCTCCCCGTGCGCGTTTCTGATGTCTGCACCGGGCTCCCGTGTGCGTTTCTGATGCCTGCACCGGGCTCCCGTGTGCGTTTCTGATGCCTGCACCGGGCTCCCCGTGCGCGTTTCTGATGCCTGCACCAGGCTCCCGTGCGCGTTTCTGATGTCTGCACCAGGCTCCCGTGTGCGTTTCTGATGCCTGCACCAGGCTCCCGTGTGCGTTTCTGATGCCTGCACCAGGCTCCCGTGTGCGTTTCTGATGCCTGCACCAGGCTCCCCGTGTGCGTTTCTGATGCCTGCACCAGGCTCCCGTGTGCGTTTCTGATGCCTGCACCAGGCTCCCGTGTGCGTTTCTGATGCCTGCACCAGGCTCTCCGTGTGCGTTTCTGATGCCTGCACCAGGCTCTCCGTGCGCGTTTCTGATGCCTGCACCAGGCTCCCGTGTGCGTTTCTGATGTCTGCACCAGGCTCTCCGTGTGCGTTTCTGATGCCTGCACCAGGCTCCCGTGTGCGTTTCTGATGCCTGCACCAGGCTCCCGTGTGCGTTTCTGATGTCTGCACCAGGCTCTCCGTGTGCGTTTCTGATGCCTGCACCAGGCTCCCGTGTGCGTTTCTGATGTCTGCACCAGGCTCCCCGTGTGCGTTTCTGATGTCTGCACCAGGCTCCCGTGTGCGTTTCTGATGCCTGCACCAGGCTCCCCGTGTGCGTTTCTGATGTCTGCACCAGGCTCCCGTGTGCGTTTCTGATGTCTGCACCAGGCTCCCGTGTGCGTTTCTGATGCCTGCACCAGGCTCCCCGTGTGCGTTTCTGATGTCTGCACCAGGCTCCCGTGTGCGTTTCTGATGTCTGCACCAGGCTCCCGTGTGCGTTTCTGATGTCTGCACCAGGCTCCCCGTGTGCGTTTCTGATGTCTGCACCAGGCTCCCGTGTGCGTTTCTGATGCCTGCACCAGGCTCCCCGTGTGCGTTTCTGATGTCTGCACCAGGCTCCCGTGTGCGTTTCTGATGCCTGCACCAGGCTCCCCGTGTGCGTTTCTGATGCCTGCACCAGGCTCCCCGTGTGCGTTTCTGATGTCTGCACCAGGCTCCCGTGTGCGTTTCTGATGTCTGCACCAGGCTCCCCGTGTGCGTTTCTGATGTCTGCACCAGGCTCCCTGCGTGCGTTTCGATGTCTGCACCAGGCTCCCGTGTGCGTTTCTGATGCCTGCACCAGGCTCCCGTGTGCGTTTCTGATGCCTGCACCAGGCTCCCCGTGTGCGTTTCTGATGCCTGCACCAGGCTCCCCGTGTGCGTTTCTGATGTCTGCACCGGGCTCCCCGCGTGCGTTTCTGATGTCTGCACCAGGCTCCCCGTGTGCGTTTCTGATGTCTGCACCAGTCTCCCCTGTGCGTTACTGATGCCTGCACCAGGCTCCCGTGTGCGTTTCTGATGTCTGTACCAGGCTCCCCGTGTGCGTTTCTGATGTCTGCACCAGGCTCCCCGCGTGCGTTTCGATGTCTGCTTCAGTCTTGGGAGTGGCCCAGTAGGTACCGGCCATGGTCCGCCAGGTGCTGGAAAGGGGGGCTGCGTAGAGTACTGTTTGTACCTCCCCGTCCTGCAGACACACACCTCACAGGACATTTCAGAGACACTTGCGAAGTAGGCTTTGGTAACCCGTATAACTGTGCTTTCCTATTTTCGAAACCCCAGTTCAGTTATTTTTATGTGAATACTTGTCCTGTGGCCCTGGATGCTTGCACTGTTGACTCTAAAATAGGACGAAGATTTAGAGAAAAGTAAACGGGCTGTGGAGGTTAACCCTAGGCCACCTTCCCTGCAGTTGTGAAGGGTTTTGTGCATTTCTAACTGTTTCCAATCACAAAATTTACTAACACAGAAAAAAGCCATTGTAAACTCTTTAATTTAAAAATGCTTTGACCAGCTTGATGAGCTATGTATATATAAGATCAGTCATTTTATAATTTGTCGTCGCTTGAAACACGTATTCCTCGTGTGTGAGCCACGCCTACTTAGTAGTCTGAGTAGTGTTCTCATTGAACAGTTCTTTATTAAGGAGTAATTTTTGGTTTTTACCTGGCCGGTGTGGCTCAGTGGTGGAGCTTCGACCCCTGTAGCAAGAGGTCACCGGTTCGATTCCCAGTCAGGGCACATGCCCAGGTTGTGGGCCTGATCCCCAGTGGGGGGCGTGCAGGAGGCGGCCAGTCGATGTTCTCTCTCATCGATGTTTCTCTCTCTCTCTCCCCCTCTCCCTTCCTCTCTCTCTAAAAATCAATTTAAAAAAACAGAAAAATTAAAAAAAAAAGGAGTCATTTTTAATAAAAGGCTTATTGACTTTGTTTTTAGCTTTATTGGGGTATAATTGACAAGTAAAATTGTATGATATTTAAAGTGCACCTTGTGATGAATTGAGATACACATACACACACACACACATTGCGAAAGGATTTTTCCTTTTTCTGTGTGAGAACATTTAATTCCAAGTCTTTTAGGAAGAACCTTGTCTTTTATCCGATAGTGTTATCAACGGCTGTCTGCGTGGTCTGCGCTGGCTCCTTCCTTCTCACCCACCTCATGCAGCGTGTTTGCTGGGGGTTCCTTCTGGAAGCCCCGCGGACCACCCTCAAAGCCTGTCCTCCGCAGGCTGGTGCGGCCGGCCTTGTGGCCGGTGGGGGCGCATGCTTGGCCCCCGGTGGGAGGACAGGAAGGGTGATGATTTTGCTCGCTTTTGGAATTCTGCTCGATTTTACAAAATGTTTAGCAAGCACCCCCATCAAATGTGTAAATGACATCGCTATTGTAAGAAGTGTTTTCTGACCCAGTTTAGTTTTTACATTAATTCAGGTGGCAGGTATAGGTTCCTCTGACTTGGACATTTTTTTCTGCGAAAGAAATGTTTCCACATTTCAAAGAATACATCCTTTTTGTTTGTTTTTATTTTTTTCTTTGTTGATTTTTAGAGCGAGAGAGAGAGAAACATCGATGAGAGAGAACGTTGATTAGCCGCCTCCTGCATGCTCCCCACTGGGGATTGGGCCCATAACCTGGGCAAGAAAACATCTTTTTTGAATCCAGTTTTATAACTTTCTGAGGGACACTGAATAGCACTCTTTCTATCACCAATCTGAAGATGAAGAAAGAGGGGAATGATGGTCCCTCCCGCCCCCGCCCCAGGATACCAGTCTGTTGCTGACAGAGCCAGAGTCAGAATTCTTTCTTTCTCATTAATCACGAATCATGTTCCACTGTTTAAAAAGTCACAACTCGCCCTTGCCCCTGAGTAGGAAAGAGGTCGGACTAGAGTAAATTCACGTCTGTTTCCGCTTCCTCAGGGGAGAGCTACGTGTGTGGCTCCATAGAGCCCTTCAAGAAGCTGGAGTACACCAAGAACGTGAACCCCAACTGGTCCGTGAACGTCAAGACCACCTCGGCGTCCCGGGCCGTGTCGTCGCTGGCCACCGCCAAGGGGGGCCCCTCCGAGGTGCGGGAGAACAAGGATTTCATCCGGCCCAAGCTGGTCACCATCATCAGAAGCGGGGTGAAGCCGCGGAAGGCCGTCCGGATTCTGCTGAACAAGAAGACGGCGCACTCCTTCGAGCAGGTCCTCACGGACATCACCGACGCCATCAAGCTGGACTCGGGGGTGGTGAAGCGCCTGTACACCCTGGACGGGAAGCAGGTGAGCGGCGCTGTGGCGGGGCCGCCGGGGGTGTGGGGGGCCGGTGGGGAGCCGGGCCGGCCTCGACTGGCCAGGAGAGCCGGGCATTCAGTCCACACGCACTAGGTGTGGGCCTCAGGCCAGTCCCAGCCTTAGCCCTGGGACTAAGGTAAAAGTGCCCATCTCCGAGCTCAGATGATTACCCCGGGATGTCTACCTTCTCGGTTATTCACGCTTAGCATAATGCGCTCTTCAGCCCTCTAGTTTCAGTGTTGTCCTGTAGTACTGTCTACAGCCTTGAGCAGGACTGAGATTTAGAGGTCAGCTGACCAGTAGAGAAAAATCGAAATCCTTTCTTTGGCCTGAAGGATAGCTTATAAAATTTACTCTTCCAGTAATGTTCCCTGGGGAGACTTTTATAAATTTTAAGGACGTCCCTAAGGAGTAAAGTATTTCTGTCTGGATGGCATATTCCTTGAATATTATACATCTTGGTTTGAAAACATAATTTCAGAATCAGAATGAAGGGGGTCTCTCCAGCTATGGACTGTACATCGGTTGACCTGGACGGGTGGACAGTGTAATGTGAGGGTGTGAGATGTGTGTAAAAGTAGCCTCAGGTGGACTTTTCTGAAGCTTCCGCAGACCCCTGACGGTGCTCAGAGCACAGATCACTGATACACGTGCAGTGTGATTTGCTGGAGTCTCGAGTTCCCCGGTATCTTTTTGTTTAAGGTCATCATTTTTAGCACACTATCTTTGCGTGACGTTTAGTTTTGAAGGTGGATTGGTTCAAATGCCTTGGAAAAGTTATTGTGAGGGATACCTTGAATGAATTTTATAGAGAGTACATATTAAAAATCAAAACTAGTTTCATAAGTTAAAAGGTTGATCTTATTAAATAGTGATATACGTTCTGGAAGGCTAACACATTCAAGCTACGAAGAGGAAATAGTTGCAAATACTAGAAAGAATTAGCAGTTGTGAAAGAATTCTTCCCGTAGGGATCCACTCAAATGCTCTAAATTATAACATTGACTAGGCAAGAAGGAAGATCTGCCGGTGGTTGATTTATGTTCCCCAATCTTCTGCTTGTCTCATAAAACTTCCGCAGGTATCATGTGGATAAGGATTCTGGGGACGAAACTCCCTGTTTTCTAGATCGAAGAGGGTAAGAGCCTGAATGTCACCAATCAGCCAGTGACCAGAAGGTCCACTGCCCGCTGGCTCGTTGTAGCAACAAGAAGGTGGTGAGGTTCTCCTCTGAACATTGGAGGCTCCCTCTGGGGGGAAACTCAGCCGTTTTAGCCCCTTTGTGGACTGAGTTTTCTCAAGATAGGAGTTGACCAGTTTTCATAAAAAGTAAAAGTTACACAAAGAGTACAGACCGATAAACCCTTTTCCTCCCCAGTCACTTCAAAATTTTGTAGGTTTCAAATGGCTACACACTGGATCTGAAAGTCAGCTTTAGCTACTACTCTGACATTGATGGATCATTCATGTATTCTGAGAGTGAGTTTCTGAAATACGCACTTTGAGTCGTTTTCTTCTTTTTTAGGAATTTATGTAGGGTCTGTATTTTATAATGGCTGGTGTTGCTGTGGTTTACATTTAGTAATCCAATGTAATGGGAAAAAATTTCAAGGTTTAATGTCAAAAGACCAAGATTCAAATCTCGACTCAGCCACAGATTATGTATTTTCTTAGCAAGTCACTAATGAGCCTCATATTACACATCAGTAAAATGTGGATAAAATGATCACACTCACCTCCGTGTCGTCGAGTTCTTAAGGGATCAACTCTGATAATACATATAAAAGAATTTTGAGCTGTAATACTACTACGACAGCCGTATGGAGCTTGGAGCTTCATTCTCAGTGCCTGTGTGAGCATGTTTAATCGTCGCAGCAGCTTGGATTTTATCTTTATTTGCCAGACATGACAGGGCACAGAATTTATTTTTAGAAACAAGCAAATAAAAACCACCATGGAGACCACACAGGTATGGTGGCAGTGTTGGGTTTGAACCAGTGTCTCTCCAGAGCCGGTGCTCACGACCACCTTACCACAGTGGATTCCAGCCAAGCACCAGGCAGAGGCAAACGCACCGAGAGACTTCAAGGGAGCGACGTGGCCGGGAAATGCCACCTGAAAGTGTCCCTGTGAGTGTGCTTCTGCGGCCGGTCCGCACAGTGGTGTTTGTGATGTTCCGCGTCCAGGCCGCCGAGCGGTACTTCCTGCCTTGTGGGGTGTTCTCTTCTTGCAAGAACAGTGCAGAGCTGCGAGGAATTGGGTGATACAGTGGAAAGAATATACGGACATTTTGCTGGGGTCCCCAGGAGGAACAAAGGCGCGTCCTTAGGGCCCCAGGAGTCTGTGGAATTGTTTCTGTTCGGAAGGGACGTCTAGCCCTGTGCGCGGGGTTAGGATTCATGGAGCTTTGCCGAGACCTGACTGTTCCCGTAGAGGGAACCCAAGCCTTCCTGTGCGTGATGCTCTGCATGGGGGGTGCACGGGTGCTGCCACCCTCCCACTCGCCCACTGCAGCAGGGCCCCGAGGCTGCCGTAGGACCACACCCTGAGATCGCGCCTCCCGCCTTTCTCGTTTAATCCTGTGGCCGAGTCCTGTCTCCGCTCCATGAGAGGCATGGGCAGTCCAGTGCCCAGTAAGGTGGTCAGAGGTAAACATTTCTTTTGCATTGAGGAAATAAAATTGTTCGTCCAAAATCAGTAGCTTGAGTACTTCGCATGAGTAGAGAGGACGGTCATGAGCTTTACAGATGGCGCTGGCGCAGCGTGGTGCATCCGCAGGAGGGACGGGGTGCTGGGGTCCCTGCCTGGCACCAGAGAGGTGCCTGCTGCTGCGTGTTCTGCAGAGATGCCACCAGGGGGCGCAGGCCCGTGCTCTCCTCACTCACCCCGTGCCCCTCGGCCTCTGGGGTTCGCTTTCAGCCATAACCTAGGAGTTCATCACAGAGCCCGGGTCTGGTTTGTGGGCCGAGACGAGGAATCGTCATATTGGAAGTGCTGCACCACGTAGAAGACATTTTGCAGGGATGTCATTCTGCACAGGACCCTGGGGGCTCCCGGGCGGCCTGTGTGTGAGCGAGCTTTTTCTACTGACTGCAGCTCCATCTTCTTCTTCGGGCCATAAAGCTTCAGTGAAAGGGTGCCCCCCCCCCCCCGCCCTTCCTGACACCCCTCGGGGCCCCTGATGGCCCTGCGATCCGTTCCTTCTGTGCCCGAGGCCACAGAGATACTCGCTGTGTCTTGATTGTAGTGGCGCATGGCTGGTCTGGGCCTGGGTTAAGGCCTCCAAGGAAGGAAGGGGTCGTTCTCCAGCTGAAGGTTACACTCCGTCCCTCTCTGCGCGGCTGAGGGAAGGCTTTGCAGGGTGCGGGAATCTTTTCCTCTTGTCCATCCGGGCTACTGTGTTGGGATTTTCTGTGGGTTAGTCACGCACCCTCGCTGGGCAGCAACTCCCAGAGGTCATATGAAGTGTCACTATTTTTGACGTGGTTAAAGTAAGCCCAAAAGGTACAAGATTTGCGGCAAAGACATACTTGCATATCTCCCGATTCCCTTTTTGGGAACAGTTCATCAGCTGTCTTGAGCTGCTGAGTCTTCTAAATCTGTGATTCCTGAATCCTGGCTCAGAAACCGCAGCGAGTCTGAGGACAGCTGTGTCTCAGCGGGCACTTGACGCTGTTAAGACCACAGTGATGATCTCGCCTTCCCCTCGGAAATTTATAAAATCAGAGTTCAAAGCGGTACGGCAAGTATGGCAACGTCGATAAACTAGGTTTAAAGTACGTCACTGGCCCGTGGCACGGACCCGTCCGCACTGAAGATCTGTGGGTAGCGGTGCTTTGGCAGCAGAGGGAAAGCTCACCCAAGGCTGCTGTGTTTTTATCTTGTAGGTAGTTCACATACCACGCACTTGGTGAAGCCACCCCTGCTATCGTGCTAGAGTGAGCAAGCGATCTGTTGTCTCCCTGATACGGAGACCACGGGGAATCACTCGGCCGACGTAAAGATAACCCGTAAGGTGGTTTAGATGGTAAATTGGAGGACAGCATCGTAGACGCTGCCTTGGGCTGTTCAGGCCGCGTAGCAGATCCCGCAGACTGTGCGGCTTCTGGACAAAGCACGTTAGTTCTCACGGTGGAGACCGGCCGGTGTGGCCTGGTGAGAACCACGTGCTGGTTCCCACGGGAGAGCTCGGAGCTCCGGCCTTTCCCCAGGGCACTAATCCCAACTGGGAGGGCTTCACCCACATAAGCCAGGCACCTCTCATGGGCTGGCTCCTAATACGATCACCTTGGGGGTTATGTTTCAACAGGTGCATTTTGGGAGACACAAACATTCAGACCATAGCTGCCAAGTAAAGGGAACCCCGGTCGCTGTCAATAAGTTAGTTAGTTACTGTGTCTGCTCTGCATGTTCCGGTCGTTGAATCCCTTCCCTCTCATGAACGTGAAGCTCAGAGGATGCTTGCAGACGAATCATAACCATTGCAGCCGTTTATTAGACTAGGTGACTAGTCTATGACTTTGGTAGCCGATGATGAGTAAGAATCACCTATCGGATGTCACAAAATGGTCTTTGGTTTTCCTTTTGGTCTTTAGTAGCTAATTCCAACCGGGAGTAAGAATACTTTGATTTGCACCTGAGTTTAGAGACTTCGGAATATTTCTCACTGGTGAAAAAAGTGGTACAAATGGCTGCCCCATCTGAACGTGGTTGTAGCAATTCATGAGCATAGGAAATGTGGGAAACAGAGGTTTCCAAATGAAAAGGAAGGACTTGGGGATGTGACCGGATTTGGGTGGGCTGCAGAGGGACGTTTTCTGTAGCTGTTGGTGATCGTGGCTATTTTAACGACAGAACTGTGACGGCACTAAGGAACTCCCTTTAAGCATATTCGAACCCTTCATTCTTGGTACACAGATTTTTTTTTTCTGTGATGATTGATATATTATCTATGTTGGGAGAGTGAATGTAACACCTTTCAGTTTTGT